CAATCGTGGCATTTTCTGCTGGGGTGGATCGCATCCTATCAGACTCCGATCCTTTTCCCAAAGATGTCGATTGCGAGAAGCGCTTCGATTGCCTCTTGATTAAAGCCAAAGTGCTAAAGTTGGGAGATCCTTCTTCCTACAGTCCCGCTTATTCTGCATCTCAGGTCAGGACTGGTGCTTGATGCTTGCGAAAACGGACACAACCCATTTCTCTGAAGATTATGTTCGCCAAACCGTCGGCAAGAACCTTACTGACTTGTTAACTCACTGCCTGGACTCCGATGAGCGCGTGCGTTTAGCAGCGCACCATATCGTTCTGGAGTATGCCTTCGACGGCCTCGGCTTCGTGAAGGAGCTGATCGGAGACACCGTGCTCAGTCAGATGACAGACATCTTGTCAACCGGCAGAGGGATACAGACGACGTGGCATCTCATCAAGCCGTACATGGAGTATCTCGAGCCGCTCCTGCGATGGCTGACGAAGCGTCAGCGTCAGGATTGGGCATCTCTGCTTGTCCAAGTCTTACATCGCGTTCAACCAGAATCAGCTCCGAACAGAGCTGCTTGCCAGAAGGTGGTTGATCATCTGAAGCTCCTGTGTTTTGCGGATGACGATCCCAATCGAACCTACGCAGATGAAAAGCGGCAGCTAATGGCCCTCTCGGACACCGCGGACTTCGAAGAGGTGAAGAACAGCATGCCAAGCCTCTTCCATAGCTAACGTTTGTCTCACCAGCAGCACAATGCACAGCGCCGCACAGAAACAATATGCTGCAAAGTAGCAGTTCTATATTGCCAGGGGTGATGTTGTCCTGTGCTTTCGCACCAAGGCGGCACCAAAGAAAGTGCCAGGCCCAGGAGTTGACCGGGTTCTGGAGTACCATGCTCTAGGTATCGATTTGTCACAGTTTTCAATTTCCGCTATTGGCGAAAATGAAGCCCTAACTATAAACAACTTTGGGGACTGTTGACTCGACACCAAGTACTTGAATGTTATGTTGTGGACTTGTTCCTTAATGTTAAAGGAACCGTTATGAAGCAACCGTCTCTACCATTTTTCTCCATGACTACTTCAAAGCCCCAGGGGTTTGCAGGGCTCGAGGTTTGGGGTTTGGGCTTAGGTTGGGATTCCAACTCCCTGTCGATTGTAGTTTATTATCACGGGCTAAACCCTGAAGACCTAAGTCAGACAAGTCCCAAAACCCTAAAGCCTTAGGAACCTGATCCATAACACCGCCGGCACCAGAAAAACACAAAAATGCAACAACTACATCGACCTATGTTCTTTTGGAATAATATACCTCAGACCGAGGAGTGATCCTTGATGTGGTTATCTGATATCCCTTCTAAAACTATAGTGGGTGGATGCTTTTTGGCCCCTAGGCGCCAAACCCTATACCCTGAAGCCCTAAACCCTGAAACCCCAAAGCTCCAAAGCCCTAAACCCCCAACTCTAAACCACCGGCCTTCAGACCCCTCAATCCCTTTAGCACTCAGCCCATCTAGGGGTTAGGGTCGTAAGCGTAAAATGCTAAACCCGGAAACCCTGAATTGCTGTGCGAGGAAGCAGATGCTCCCACAGATGCGGATGCGGCAGCTCAGCTCCAGGAGGTTTTGGCATAGATTCTTTTGAATCAGTTGGCTGCTCTACCAGTCGGACTTTACATGTCAGAACGGGAATCTAGGGGCATTGCCTATCGAATACCTTACAGAACACCATTTCTACAAGCTTTAACGGCATTCATATAAAACACAGTAATACCTTATAGAATGCCCACTATGTACCTTGTATACCTTATTGGACACCCCGTAGCCTATCTGATGCGGTACATCTTAGATACCTTAAAGAATACATTCCTATATATATATATATATATATATCTACACACACACACCCTGTAGATAACCGTATATAACGCCCTATGGAATACCCTATGGCATGCCCGAGAGAAGGCGGGATAGGATATGCTACTAGTATGAACTGATCCTATAGATCGTATATAGAATACGATCTAAACTATTTTATAGAATATCTTAAGGACTATCTAATGTATACGATACCCCATGTATAGCTTGAAAATGGAAACTTAGACTTTATTTTGATCAACAGGAAACGGAAGAACGCTGTTACAAATGCAGAGAGCAACCTGCAAAGTTCAGTCACTACGGATCATAAGTTACTTGTACTAGTAGCCAACATTCGCACGAAACTTGCGGCAAAGAAGCGTTGTTGTCAAACAACAAGTACACGATATCGAACCCCTACAACTGAACAGATACACAGATACAACGAGAAAGCCCAAGAACTAAGTGAAGCAGCCAAGCCGTCTGAGAGCGCAGACCCCTTCGAAATATGAGCTGAAGTTCTGAACCAAGCAGCGGCCCATACCTTTACGCCCATCCCCACAAGTCCCCACGAACACCACGGACGCCGCAGACCCCGAAGCGGTCGACAACCCTCAGGCCGGGCCAGGGCTTCGCTCAAACTGGGTTTAGGAGTTAGTTTAGGGGTTTAGGTCTCTAGGACCTGCCGTGCTACTGTAGCGTGGCAAGGCAAACGAGCTTCCGCGAAGAGCAAGGCCAGGCCGGTGTCCTTTTCGTTCGTGTCAATTTTGTGAGTTATTGTGAGTTATGACGAGAGACAGGAATTGCTGCAGCTGTGGCAATGTGCGCAAGAATTCAGAACAAAGATGATGGCACAGTAGCTGCTGGTGGGAGTATCAGGTAGTGGTCGTAGCATTCTCGATATGGATACGTAGCACTTGTAATAGCATAATTAGTTAGTAGCAGCACCAGCAGCGCAAAAACAGTACTGTAGCATGATGAAGGCCGTGGCACCAACGGCAATGGTTGCAACAATGCGGGGCTAAGCAGTCTTGGTATTCGTCTTCGTTGTGGACTTCTTTGATTGGCAGCCGGTCTGATACGATTACTTCTTCGCACTTGCTGCCTACAACAGTCCGAAGGACGAGGCATCAGAGATGAACACGACTTTGCTCCCGAAGCAGACGCTTTGGACCCAGCTGTCCAGAGCGATCAGCAGTTGTTGTGGCCACAGCCTCACGGTGGCCCAGGCAGTTGAAATCCGAGAAGATGTCGGAACTCATGACAGCGGCCATGGGAGCCGCTTGGAGGGCAGTGGGGGCCGCAAGAGACCAGGGGGCCAAGTGCTTCTGAAGTCTCAGGTCCTTCGGGCCCTGCGCTGCCAGAAGCGCCAGAGTCACCCCGGACGCCGCGGACGCCGCGGACGCCACGAACCCCTTCCAGCCCCAAGAGCAGTGGGAAGTCGAAGGCTTCGAAGGAGTCCCAGAGTCCCAAGAGCTCCAAGACGAAGGGAGCGCAGGGCCAGGAGCCGGCCAGCCCGAAGACTCCAAAGAGCCCGGGAAGCCCCCGAAGTCCCCAAAGCCCAAAGAGTCCCAAGAGCCCGAAGCGCTCGACGACCCTCAGGCCGGGCCAGGGCTTCGCCCCAAAAAGCTTCACTCTCTAGGACCTGCCGTGGTGCCCGTGGCAAGGCAAACGAGCTTCCGCGAAGCGAGCAGCTCACAATCGATCAGAGGCCCCCGGCTCCTTGCCACTTGTGTTTTCTGACCTCGCTGCGACTCTTCAGTTCGAGGCCAGAAGGAGCCCGGAGCCAAGGACGTGCCTCCGCAAGCGGAGCTCCTGGCACAGGCAGCGCAAGCCGACCGTTGCTTCAGCCCTGGTCACTGGCACAGCTCTCGCCTCTGACAGGCAGAGCTGCCAGCCGAGGAAGTTTCGGCTACGAGTGCAGCGCTTGGATCGGTCTTCTAGACAAGTCGCGGAGCTCGCAGGGTGGTTCTGGATCTCAGGCGAAGATCCTGTCAACGATAGTCTGTCCCGGCCCATGTCGCAACCGAGCACAGCTGCCATTCGGACAACGGAAGAGGTCAGCCGCCAAGGGCTGGAGACTTTTGGGGAAGTGATCGCACACACACACACACACTCACTCTGGTAGCAACACCTCATCCGAGGCTAAGGCAGGGGACTGTACTCTGCATGGTCTCGGGTAGTCTACACCCAGTATGGGGCCGCCTGGAGCATCTGTGTATGCTGCGGCTGCAGCTCCCTGCATGCCCCAAGAAGGTGGGGGACCGGAGAGGGCACTTGCTCCACTTGCCCGAATCTGAAGACCACTTCAAGTGGAGCAGATGGTGCAAGTAGCGTAAGTGACACATTTTGCTTAGCCTTGGGCACGATGGCAGAATGCAACATGGGTCACTGCCACCGAGCCTTCTCCTCACCCGACCCGGGATTTGATATCCACCCCGAGCTGCACAACTCGGCCGGATCTAGAGGGGGCCTTTGTCTGCCCTAGATGCAGGGTGAACAGATCTCCCGTGCCGTGCCAAAACTTTTCTTGTGTGTGGCTCGCTTCGCCCGATCTGACTCCTCCACCCCAGTCATCGTGCCCGGCTCCAAAGCGAAACATCAGCCGAGCAGCTTATCCCCCTGCTCCTCCTCGAAGGGCATCGTCCCACTCCGGGTCTCCGCCTCTTCCGGAAACCTTGGTCCATGCAGCCACCTTTGAACCCGCGAAAGTGGATCAGAACATCCTGGGTGATGGTACTTTTTGGAACTGACACTAGCCATGCCTTTATCTGAGGCTACATAGTCATAGCAAGTCACCAAACTTATTACCAGGGAGGTGGGGATGGTTCGGCAATGTCTCCAGAAGCCCTCGACTCTCGACTGTAAGCCTCCGGCAGCACATCGCCACGGTTTCCAGGCAGCTTGCTGCGGTTTGATGGCGATGGCCTTGAATCATGGAGTCTTCCATCAAGGTGTCATCAAAAGAACTAGGCCTAGATCATCATCATGCTGCATGCAATGCGTCGGTATTTTGGGGCAGCTTTTGACATGTTTGGCACACATAGAGTCTCCACTGCTTGTGGTCACTGCAAGTTGCTAGAAAACGTGATTTGTGCTGCGCGGAATGGGAACGCTCATGCTGCTCGCCGGGGCACGCTGGAGTCATGCGATCTTCAAACGACAATTCTGTGATGGACCTCCAGGGACAGCCAGGCCCAGACCTGGGCAAAGAGCGCTAAGAGTAAAGCCCAACCGCAGAAGAGCAGTGCTCGACACTACTGATGCTGCTGGAAGACTCCTGCTTCTCCAATGCCTCTGAAGGCTCCTCTCAAGCAGCTCACTTGTCGAAGGACAGGCTTGGCCCAGCGACTGCGCTTCCGGCCTCCGGAGGCTGCTCTCCGTCAGAGTCGCAGGTGCTCGGCAGAGAAGCGTCGCTGAGCCGCGGCTTCCTGAAACGATTCGACTTGCGACCGCTCAGCGTGCATGTGGCCCCGCACTCCAGCGCGAAACATCAGCCGAGGAGCTGCTCGTCAGCGGTACCGCTCCGGAGCTTCGCGTCCTTGGCCAAACGCCTTGGTCCACGCAACCATCTACGAGTACAGTGAGCGGAGAATAGAGAAAGACTGGCAAACTCCGGCTCAAGACTTACATTGCACGAAGGAGCCCCGATGTGAGCTTGCAAAGCCCAAACTGTTCAGCGACCAGGTCATGAGTAAGGAGGATTGCGCGGAGTGTGCCGTTTGCATAGCTGGGTCGCCACTAGCAACATCTCGGAGGCAATTGGTTGCACAATTGAGATCACCTGCCGACAAGCTGCCTCTTGTAGTTGCGCATGAGCCGCCTTACCTTTTCAAGCTGCCGTCTCTGGATGCGAAGCCTGAAGGGACTCTGTACGAGGATGCAAACGACGGAGAACATGCACTGTTGGTTCGCGCCAGGCATGTCCATGAACGGCTAATGTTCCAACAACTTGTTATTGGGACACCTCGTTAGGACTTCAAAGCGTCGAAGCAGGCTGCTGAATGAGACTTGGTCTCCTGTTAACCCGCGTGAAGCTCTATCGAGGTCTAGGAGTGTGGGAAAAGGCAGCAGCCAGTCTCTCAATTCTTCAGCAGCAAGATGCTACTTTTAGTCGCTCCGGGAAGTCTACAGAGGGCACGAATCGAAGCAACTGCAGTTGAGAAGCGCTTCGTGCAGCTGCTCGTTGTCGACCCGAATGGCCTGGTTGTCGCTGCGAAGATCGCTGCACCTGAGTGCCGCTCGCACGTCATGCCTTCCGGCACTGCTTCGCCGTGGGACAACCTTATCCTTCATGCATACTGCTGAAGTACAGCTCGACGACTCGTTCAGCAGCAGAATCTTCTCCTTGCTCAACGTACTGATCTGCTCGACCAGAGACCAGTAAGGTGGCGAGCTCCACCTGAGTCTTCTTTCAAATGGACTTCCATGTAGTTGCCGGAAGCACAGATGCTTGTAACGGGCTGGAAGCTGTCTTTGCAGCTGAGTTTCTTCCGGCACGAATCGTATTCACCAGAGGACGGGGAGTCATGAAGCCTCGGTCCTGGCGTAGCATTCGGCCACCTCTCCGTGCAAGTCGGAGATCCACTGCATGACGCCGGCGACCGTGGCAAGCTCGACCTGAGTCTCTTGCATGGGGTTGCCTGTAGATGCTACCTCATGCAACGGACTGGAACCTGTTTTCAAGCTGAGTCTCTCCGAAGGCGAGTAGTACTCGCCAAAGGACCGGTAGTCATCAAGAATCGGTCCACGCGACCACATCTCCAAGCTAGTCGGAGCACCACTGCATGGCGTCGGAGTCATGCTGCCGGCTTCGCACAAGACACTGAGACATGTTGCTGTAACATCTTGGCATGTCATGAGCACCACGGATGCATACATGCAGTGACTTCATCAACAGCACTGAACACTCTGGGGCCACAGGAGGAACAAATCCAAACGAAGAAAATCTCTGCAAAACCTTGCAGGTGCACACACAGAGAGCACCGAGGCTTGGGCCCTGCTCGCCCATTGTTCTTCGTCTTCGCCATGGCTACGTCGACGTGTTCGCAGGAAGAAGTGACGGCATGAAATTAGATGAATCTCATCGCCTACGAGTGCCAAGGCTTCTTCCACCTCTTGCATGACTGAGCCCAAACGTGCTAGCGAGATTCTCACAAAAATGAAGGAGCCCCATGGCCGTGGCTCCTTTCGGAATGACGAAGCTTTGTTTGGTGCAACGCGCATGGACAATGCCACAGGCTGACTGGAAAAATGCTTCCGCAGAGTCAGAATGGTGGATCCGGGGTTGCTTTGACTCCCAGTGAAACAGCGAACTACAGCATGCTCCAGTGTTGCAACGAACGTTTCCGCGACTAGCAGCTACTGCCCACAGCCTTGCAATCTTCTTCGATGCCTTGCTCACAACAGCTCTATTCTCAGATGCGCTGCTCACAACAGCTCTAGGCCACGTCACTGTCGGTACTGCTTTCAGATTCCTGGTGCAGGGCGGTTCAGAGTGGCTTGACTTGGTGGTACTTGCAGAGAAACTCCATAAAGCCTCCAAAGGCATGCGGGAGCCATAGAATCGAGGTTGCCCAGGCGTGCGCTTGCAGAATCCGTTGATCAAAGCGACCTCTTCTTTGCAGCTGTCGAAGTGTTAAAGTCTCGAGACGCGCCAAGGCCAGGGCTGCGATTGCCAGAAGCCAACACAAACAAGCGGCATAAAGCAAGAAGTTACCTTTCCCAGCATCTTCCGAGAGTGGTGAGTGGTGAGAGTGTGAAGGCATGCAGAATCCAACGGCTGCGGCCCTCGTCCCGAGGTCATCGCTTAAGGCTTCTGACTTTCCACCAAGAGCGCTTGGGCTCAGCAGTACCTGGCCACACGTAACGATGTGCTGCACTGCCACGCAGCGAAGGTGCAGCGTGACCGAGAAGCTTCCGCTCAGGCAGGCACAACGGTTTTTGTGACGTTGAGATGAGACACGGGGAACCTCATGGTTGACAGGTGCACTGGCGTTCAGCACGTTGTTGCGACTGCCTGTCGTGGATGTGCAGGGTCAGCATCTCGCTTTCAAGAAGGCCAACCTTGACTCAGAAGTAGACTAGGACAACACCAAAATCGAAAGCATGAGAATCCTTGCACAACACGGCTGATGGACTGATGAGTGCTGTAAGGCACTGTCATTCACTCGGCCGACATCCTTCAGGAGGCTGGGCATGGCACTGGGCCTACAATCGGAAGAGGAGAGAGCACGCAGAGAGAAGTGCGTGTGCTCTCCGCGATGAGCCTCATCCATTCAACGAAATCCGGATCCGTCGTGCCCTGATCAATTGAAATCACCTGTGTGCAGACAAAGGCTTCTGCTCAGATTCGCACCTCCAGGCTTTACAAGGTCTCGTCTTAACTTGCATTCCGTGTCTTCCTGTTGAGGTATGACAGTGCGGGCGACAGCACAGTATGTGCGTCTGTGTGTAGCGGCACCTGGGGCCTGACTTCAATGAAGCTCAACACACGTGCCCTGCACTGCAGCGCACCAAGAATCATGGCCCTGTTTGTGGATGTGCCTCGGGAAAGCGCTCGTAGAGCCAGGCCTGACTGTCTGTCCAGGAACAGAAACTATGGTCAGTTCGCCGTCGCGACCTGGAACCCTCCAAGCCCTGGTGGAACCCGAATCCCTGAACCCCCAGCTCGAAGATACGGCTACCCTGACAACATTTCACAACGCCGTCCAGAATCTTCCGGCTTCCGGCCACTTGTTCCGGCTCCAAGCAGTTATTCTGATGCTTCCTCACTCTTTCGGCTGCGTGCTGCGTTTACAGCGCCGTCGAGATGCTTCTGGCTGTTGCTCGTGCTAAGGCCAAAGCTTGAAAGAGATTTTGTTATTTCAGGGACTGTGTCTCGAACGAAGGACGCTGTTGTAGCTAAACAAACCAAGGTCGTGTCCGTGTCTCACATGGATAAGACAGACGCTGCTCCACAACCCCCGCCCACATGCCCTATCGGGAAAGCTGTTTCTTGCTTAGGCAGTCGCGATTCTGGCCTTCGATGTATGCTTGTTCTGCAATTTTTGCCCGCCACACGGTTTCACGAATCTTGAATGTCTTCTAGTCTTGCTTTACATGGAGGTTCCCTTCTTTGTGCCAGCTATCAAATGTTAGTATTTTCTGACCTTGCAGTTTTACTGTGTTCTTCTTGACCTGTGGGGGGGGGGGGGGGGGGGGGGGGCGTGCGTTCTTTCCCACCGCCGTTGCTCCCCCCTTCTGAAAGCCTTCTAACTTCTAACCTTCTGAATCTTTTTTCTGAACTCGTAGTGGTTTCGCTGCCTCGCTGCCAAACGTTTGCCTCTCCACGGGGACAGGCCGTTCTGCGCTGCACTGCCCCGTGCCCTGATATTTCTGGGATCAAGGTTCTATCTATGCACGTTGGTAGTTGTTCGGGTCTTGTGGCACCACACCCCCGTCTACGGCCGGAAGAGCATGAGTTCACTCTTGTTCGTGGTGCTCGTTTCAACGCCCGAGGAATCACGGCATGAACACCACCAAAAACCTGGCCCAGCTCAACATTGCTTCAATGCGAAAGTACATCGGCGGTCACTGCTCCAAGCACAGAGATAGGAGTTCGGTGTCCCGTAGCTTTTGCTTGCTCCCAGGTGCTAAGGTTCATCCGACGTATGCACGGGCTTGTGACGTGGCGTCCAGCAAGGGGCAGAAAGGGTGGTCGATGCCATTCCAACATCAAATCCGGCTAGCAAGCCCGTGCAATCTAGCACATGTAACGCACCGCAAACACCAGCCAGAACATGACATCACGGCTGCCAAGACCCTCCTAAGTTTCGGACAACCTTGGACCCGTCGGGATAATCCGGTGGATTTGCCATCCTTGGCCAATTTATTGGGAGCACCATGCAGACGCTGGCAGAGCAGTCAGCAGCCCACCTGCTACGATCTTCGGGATTGCCGACACCGTCTTTGCTGATGTGGAGGACCTGCACAAATCTGCAGTGAAAGCCGGCACGGCTCCCTCGGCAACTGTGGTGCAGGCAGCTCCGTTTCGCCGCAACCTCACACGTATGCTGACAAATGAATTGCGTGCTGCACCCTGCCTGACCGTACTGGTAGATGCTGTTTATGTCCCAAGCTCGAAGGTATCGTTGAAAAGGCTTGTGGCCTCGACCAGCGCGTCTTAATGCTCGCAGAACTGAAGCGAATACAGCTACCTGCAAGCCGCAGGGGAAAATTACGTCGCCGGTCTCTGTCATTCTCGTGGACGCTTCCGGGCAGTGCCTTACTTTGTCGTCAGGCGTTCTGATAAAAAAGGCCCTCCAACTTTCGCTTCCAGCTAGGCTTGCGGCTTCTGCCGCTCGTCATGGCCGAACCATCTGCCTCCACCAAGCATTTCTTATGCTCCGGCCGCTGGGGGTTGGGTGATGTTGTGCGAATCGAAGTGAACATGAGAAGTCAGTGCGCTTCATGCCTTCCTGCCCCAAGCCGGCCTGTCAGTTCTCCCCATGCACCGGAGGTCGAACCTGGTCGAGCAAGGTGCACATCTGTGCGAGGAAGTCCGCTGATTTGCGCTGGAGGCCTGAAGCAATGTAGGTCGGGAAGTTCTGGTAGAACCTCGTTGACTCGGTCAACACGCGAAGGCCATCATGCAATCTTAAACTCGCAGGCAGGGCGAATTTAAGTCAACGTCACGCATCATGGATTGCATGAAACCTTGTCTGCCAAGCTGCGGATCGAGATGGTAGAGCACACGAACTGGCGGAGGCATGTCCTCGTAAGCCGAAAGTTCGCCCCTAGAGCCGTAGAACGATGATTGCTATGGGGCAGCTTGCTGTCCCGACTCAAGGAGACTTGCAAGCTGCACGTGCCAGATGATACGTCGCAGTCGGCCATGTGCTCCACCTCTTCGTGCTGGGCTGCTGGCAAAAGCTTAAGCATCTGAAACTGTCGCCAGTGGCCCGGATCCCACACACGCCAGCCAAGGCGACTGCGGCATCTGCTTGCATCTGAAATGGCACTGAGCCAGTGCGAGCCGCACCGCCATAGCGAATCCGGATCTGGACAAGGTGGCCAAAGGCATGCATGATTACTCCATCCTCTACGGCAAAGTGCGCTCTTATGGATGAGCTCTGCAGTGTCGCCTCAACCGCGTGCTCCCCAAGCCGCAGGACGGTGAACCCCAAAATCAGCAGCAAACTGCCCACAACCGCTGCTGCCCCCATGACCTCGCAGGCTCTGGAACGGTATTCCCGAACTCAATAAACCCCACGCTGCAACCCACTTCACTTCCACCTTGGATATGTGCCTTGCCCGGTGTGAAGTCAATTTGAATGCGAGGCAGCTGTTGCTGAGCAAAGCGAGAACCTCAGGACTCTCCCGTACTTAAAGCCGCGACTGCATGTCTGTGGCCCTTTGCAGCTTTCGGCGGGGGCCCGGGGCGGAGGGTGGCCGAAGGCTTACAGGATTGCGCAAAAAAAGGCACGTCCTCCCACGTCACACAGCAGACACAGCACTCTCGAGATGTCTCGAGTTTCGAGACGTCAAACTGAGGTACTTGCGATCAGGAAAGTTCTGGTTGTGAGCCTCAGCGGCACGAACAGTCCCGCAGATACCCAACCGCAGTGCTCAAGCTGAGGTGACTGCCAAGCTGCCTCCCAGCGACTCCTACAAGCGGTACAGTGAACTCCTCGTCGGCTGTTCCCTTGCGTCGGGCCTCCTCGGACGAAGAGTCGCTTTCCTTGCAGGCATGAGCCGGTGCTAGTCGCTGAGGCTTGGCCCGCAGTTTGCGCCTGCAGGGAGGGGAGCTGCAGGGCCGTGGTGCTCGAGGCGCTTGTGGCCGTCACACCAGTCGCAGTCCTCCCGAAGCCAAAAGTCACCCAGGCGGCATTGTCATTGAGGCGTCTGATCATGGCTCCTCCTGTACCCATCCACCGGCTCTGATGCCTCAGCGCAGGATGCAGCTTTATATGTCATAACCGAAGCACTCTCAGAAAGCGCGAGCAGCCGTGCAAATGGGTCCCCTGCGCCAACCAGCGACAGATCTCCGGCTGTGGGGTGCGAATTGACGAAAGCGCTGTGATGCCTTCGAGCAGGTCATGTCGAGAGGACTGTCCTGAAGGTCCCGAGCCCGCAGGCCAAGGACGGCCCAGTCAGAAGCCTTTCCTCTTCTCGGGTTGTTCTGTCCGGGCCTCGGCTCGCCGCCGGGATGAGCGAAGTCGTAGGAGGACCTTTTCGGGCATTGGACAATTCAAACTCCATGGTGGCATATGACTGTCCGCCGAAGGCTGAGAATAAGAAAATAGAATATCACAAGACGATCAAAACGGAACGCACATGCTGAAATTGGATGAGTGTGACACAAGACGGCCGTCGAGAGCCCTCGTCAGAATGGGTGTGCATGCTCTCAGAACAAGTCATGCTGTCTAAGCCGTCCATCTTCAGTGTTGCTCTAAAGGAAATCTGCATGCAGCCAGAGCATCACCTGACAAAGGGGTTCCAATCAGAACTAGACTCGATCCCGGCTTCCCATCCTGAAAAGCAAATCCAACAACACAGACTGCCAGATGCCCAAGGTTCGAGCCATCTTTGGAACCGGGGTCTTGGCGATGACCTGTTCGTGATCCTATCTTTAGGCCTCGCCCCCTGAAATCGACACTTCGAAGAGTCGAGGCCTGGACCGCGCAGCGTCGGCCAGCGGCGAGGAGCGACCAGGACCAGGCAAGTCCAAGTCAGCCGCAGCTTCTGCCTCCCGAAAAAGGGGAGGGGAGAATCTGCTCTCTGCCTGCTCTTTGCTCTCAGGACATGACGGTACTAAGACGTTTGTGGACCCTTGCGCCTACCTCTTCCCCATTCGAGCACTCCTCTTCAAAGAAGCACTTGTCTTCCTGCAGTCAAAATCACAGGCGAACCCCACACCCTGTTCGAGATGGCCACTGACTGACTGGCCTTCCATCGCTCCATGATAATCTGCGAGCCTGCAATCGCTACAACTACCAGGAGGCACAGCAAGTGCACCAAATAGTAGTTAGTAGTATAGCACGATGCATTCTGCAAGATACTAAGGTAAGATACAGCACCGTACTTCAAGGGATCTGAGTACTTCACGACTAACGTCATTGCAGAGACAGGGCTGCAAGTCGAGACATCGTGGCTGGAGATCGCATGAATGCGCAAGGTAGGAACGAATAGTCTTGACGGCATCTTGCAATGCGTGCGGGGACGCATGCAGTAAGCGCTCCCGAAGAGCTGAGTGGCGAACGATCTGGGCAGAACTCAGTCAGCAGGTACGCCTCCGCGGTTTCACGTTCGCATGCTTCTGTGCTCATCGCATGTACCCTCACTCAGCACTCACCCGCAGATACCTTGAAGACGTCGATGACCATGGCAAGAGCTGGCACCGTAAATGCGCAGATCCTGGACCATCGGTAGAGGCTGCGTGCTCTTCACGGTCCAGAAGGTGCAAAAGCTGGTCTAAGGCAGGCGCCAGAAATGAGGGCTGCTCATCATGCGGCCGGGGACCTGCGATGCTGGGACATCCGCAAAAGCCCCGACCAAGAGATCCAGCAGGGGTGTTGCGAGGATAAGCTGCGCACGCCGTACATCCAAGGCCTTATGCCCAGCACCCATGCGCTAAGAAAGACACCAGCAGAACCAAAAACATCAGGGCAGCCGGCTGCAGCTTGTCACTCACAGATCTGCAGCAGTAGACGGCAAGGAAGAACCTGAGCCGTCGGGTACAGCTCACGGAAGCAGGGACATGTTGATTGATGCATGTCGAGGGGTCTTAGAATCTTAGAAGCCACCGTGGCTCATCTTGACCGTGGCGAAATCACGCCGAGCACACACCACACGAAGACGTGCCGTAGACAACATAACCGATGAATTCTGCAGACGAGACGCGCGTAGATCAAGAAGGAGCAGAGCTGCCCAGCAACGGTCACCACGTTCCAAGTCCTTCGGATTCATCTATGGCTGGCTCCAATTCAGGTGAACACAGAAGCTTGTTGTCTCTTAGGATCTATCAGCCAGTCTATCGTTCAGACAAAATAGGCCTTGTCAGGAATGCCGCTCGGTAGTTCATCGCGATCACAAGAACGGTGAACACCTGCGTGGCTGGGCGATGCATGCTACGGTCTCAGACGAGGCGGCTTACGGCCAACTGAATCTCGCGGAAGAGGAGACAAGAAGAGCAAAGGACCTAGCATGACCTAGCCTAGGACCTGTAGATTCCTTGAAGCACATACTGGCAACGAGGCACAATCGTGCCAAAGGTGTAGAAGTCACCAGCTTGCAGGACATACATGTCGTGGCAAACCAGGAGCATGACCTGAACAGTTTGACAGAAAGCCGACAAAACTCGAAGCTACAAGTAGCGGTTCTTGGGGTCGGACAACGCCGATCACGCAGGAATGGACCGCTGCAGACAAAAGCATCTCAACCTTACACTTGACTTGTGAAAAGGATATGGTTCTGCCACACACACCCGGGTGGCCAGTGTCCACACATCCCCGTCACCGAGGCCGGTACGAGTTTGGATGCATTGAGGTCAAGGCCTGGCTTGGACGAGGAGCGTGTGCAACAAGCCAGATTGTCAAACGGCAGGTCTAGGCAAGTCGATCCAAACGTAAAAAACTGCCAAGATGGTCTTGGGCCAGCAGACGACCAAATTTCCACAGAGTCGAAGGGGGAGTCTTTTGGGCCGCCTTCGCGTCCATTGACGTACAGTCCAGGATTGGCCAAGACCTGCTCTTCCTCTAAGTCCTCGTGGAAACCAGCCGGGTGCTGAGACGTGCTGAGGTGTCGGATGCACTCGAAATCTCACAAGGCGCCAAGCCGGCCTGCTCGAACATGCCCGTCGTAATGATCGGAAATGCCAGTACGAAGTTGTACGAAGCTCGCACCTTAATTGCTACACAAAGCAAGCATAGAAGCGAGCGAACGTTGATCAGCCGTGCTTAATTCAATGCTGAGAAGCCATGTCTTCGAAAAGGCTTTGACCTGTCACAAGATAGAGCATGGCTTAAACTTGGGCCAACGAACTTTGCTTGTCAGCATCGACTGCTCGCAGGGCGGCTTTCGAGTCGGATCGGGACAAGCTTTCTTGCTTATTTCGACTTCCGGCCTGCATAGCCAGAAAAGAAGGTGTAGTAGAACATCAGGAGAACCTCGTTCAGGCAATGCGCGAATTGTCCACAAGCCACTGCAGACCCATCCAGCCGCCGTTCGACTAAGACAGGGACCAGCCTCGGATGCACCGACTCAAAGCATGCAACACATTGTAAGCTGTACAATTTAAGTATGTTACAGTGTCGTATTAGAGTATAAGATATTTCTATCCTCCCACCGACTGGGCATTGGGAGCGCTTGACGAAACGGAACGACCTGCTCATTTTGTTTTGATTTGGGTTGGGGTCTCTGCCGCCCTCCCCCCCCCCCCCCCCCGGCAAAACTTGGTGGTTGACAGCTGAGCTAATGTCATACGTCATACCTCCCATGTTCCAGCATTCAAGCGGGGGAAGACTTGACTAGTCGATGAAGAAGCAGCTCAGAGGCCGGTGGGGCAGGAGGCCACTGCTCGCGCTGCTGTCCGGCATACCCTTTTCGGGTAAGTGAACCGGCTTTCACGCCCAACCGAGGTGCATACCTGCTGGTTTTGACTATGGCGAACCCAACCCAGAGTCCAAACGCCATGAACGATGCAGCATGACATAGCACCATTCGGGAGACAGTCTGGCGCAAAGCAAATCATTCAAATCATTCCAAGATATTCCAAGGTCTTACAGGCCCACCGGCGAGCAAACCAAACCCAAAATCAAAACGCCGCGCACGATCCAGCATGCCACAGCAACATTCCGGAGACAGTCTTCTGGTGCGGGCGAGCAAAGCAAACCAAAAATCAAAATGCCACGCAGGATCCAGCATGACACCACAACATTCGGGAGACAGGCTGCTGGTGCAAAACACAAAACTCAAAGATCTTACTAGCCCTACCGGAGAGCAAAGCAAACCCAAAACCAAAACGCCACGCACGATCCAGCATGACACCACAACGTTCGGGAGACAGTCTTCTGGTGCAAAACACATCATTCTAAGAGCTTACTAGGCCCAGCGGTGAGCAAAGCAAAACAAAAATCAAAATGCCACGCACGATCCAGCGTGACACCACAACATTCGGGAGACAGGCTGCTGGTGCAAAACGCCAAACTCAAAGATCTTACTAGGCCCACCCTGGCCCACCGGTGAGCAAAGCAAACCAAAAATCAAAATGCCACGCACGATCCAGCCCTGATCCAGCATGACACCACAACATTCGGGAGACAGGCTGCTGGTGCAAAACACAAAACTCAAAGATCTTACTGGGCCCACTGGTGAGCAAAGCAAACCAAAAAAGTAAAATGCCACGCACCATCCAACATGACACCACAACATGCAGGAGATAGTCTTCTGGTGCCAAACACATCATTCGAAGATCTTACTAGCCCCACCGGTGAGCAAAGCAAACCCAAAATCAAAACGCCACGCACGAACCAGCATGCCACAGCAACATTCCGGAGACAGTCTTCCGGTGCAAAACACATCATTCCAAGATCTTACTAGGCTCACCGGTGAGCAAAGCAAACCAAAAACCAAAGTGCCACGCACGATCCAGCATGACAGAACAACATTCGAGAGACAGTCTTCTGGCGCACAACACATCATTCTAAGATCTTACTGGCCCTACCGGTGAGCAAAGCAAACCAAAAATCAAAATGCCACGCACGATCCAGCATGACATCACAACATTCGGGAGACAGTCTTCTGGTGCAAAACACATCATTCTAAGAGCTTACTAGGCCCAGCGGTGAGCAAAGCAAAACAAAAATCAAAATGCCACGCACGATCCAGTATGACACCACAACATTCGGGAGACAGGCTGCTGGTGCAAAACACATCATTCTAAGATCTTACTAGGCCCACCGCTGAGCAAAGCAAACCAAAAATCAAAATGCCACGCACGATCATGACGCCACGACATTGGGGAGACAGTCTTCTGGTGCAAAACACATCATTCCAAGATCTTACTAGGCCCACCGGTGAGCCAAGCAAACCCAAAAAACAAAATGCCACGCACCATCCAACATGACACCACAACATTCAGTAGATAGTCTTCTGGTGCCAAACACATCATTCGAAGATCCTACTAGGCCCAGCAAACAGACAACCAAAATGCCACGCAACATCCAGCATGACACCACAACATTCGGGAGACAGTCTTCTGGTGCATAAAACACATCATTCTAAGATCTTAGTAGGCCCATCGGTGAGCAAAGCAAAGTAAAACATCGAAATGCCACGCACGATCATGACACCAGGACATTGGGGAGACAGTCTTCTGCCGCAAAACGCAAAACACATCATTCTAAGATCTTACTAGCCCCACCGGTGAGCAAAGCAAACCAAAAATCAAAATGACACGCACGATCCAGCATGACACCACAATATTCGGGAGACAGGCTGCTGGTGCAAAACACATCATTCTAAGATCTTACTAGGCCCACCAGTGAGCAAAGCAAACCAAAAATCAAAATGACTCACGGGTGGTACAGGTACAAGTGGTTGCACAACCCTTTTGCAACGCCCCGAAGGGCGCCAACAAACTCGAAATCAAATGCCACGAACGGTAGCCAGCACCTTCAGGGACGCAGGGACCGTTTTGTTGACAACTGTTTGGGGGAGACTCTTTGCAAATTCCACCAGTGAACGACCCAAACGCTATTCAGAATACCGTTTTGGAGTACAAGTGCTTGACGTAAGCCTTGCGCGATGCCCACCAGCGAGCCAACATGAGCCAACCACTGTCGCCATAGTCAAAATCGCTTGCCACACGCGGTCGCCAGCATTCCCCCGGCGAGCAACCACTATAAACTCCTGGCGAGCAGCCCAAACACACAAAAAAAAAAAACAAAAACACGAGGCTGCCAGTGCCATTCAGGAGAAAAGGTCAGGTGTTTGCACGTTTTGCAAACCACGTGCTTGCAAGACTTCTTGCAAGCGACACCAGCGAGCAAACCGAAACCAAAATCCAAATGCCAGGTGGTAGAGAGCATGACACAGCACCCTTCAGGAGACAAGGCTGTGGTGCAGAACAAACAACTCCTACACTTCTTGCAATCTGCACCAGCGACTGGACCGAACCCAAAATCCAAATTTACCAGGCGACAGCCAGTATGACAGACCCATTCAGGGGACAGCACTGTGGTGTCAAACTGGTGCTTGCAAGACTTCTTGCATGGCCCACCACTTACCCAAACAAGGGTATGATAACGACGTGTTAGCCAAAAGTACTACTAGGGTGCAGTGGCTCCTTTTCCTTGGTCGAGTCGCAGAAACTGCGCCCGGCCGAGCACACCGCCCCTGAACCGATGCCGGTGCCGGGGTGCGCACTTCTGCGCCCACCCCGGGACAACCGCCCGGTGGGGCGGGTGTCGGCCGTCTCGTCGGAAGTCGACAAGCAAAAGACCCTTAGGGTGGCGCGTTTGGGAAGTCGAAAAAGGCGATCGAGCCAGAAGCTTCCGGCCGATCGCTGCCGCTTGTTCCTACACGCACACGTGCGTTACACCACAAGTGTATGCAAGAACGTTTGCAAGGCCCGCCACTGAACCGAAGTCAAAAATCAACATGCCACGCACGGTCACTAGCGCGACACACCATTCAGAACACATTCTTGTGGCGCAAGTGTTGCAACATGTTGCAACATCCAAAATCCAAAAGCCTCGCAGAGCTGCCTGCAGGACGCAGCACCCCTCAACACACAGGCTTGCGTTACGAGAGTTGTAAGACTTCTTGCAAGGTCCGCTAGTCAGCAACGTCAGCAAGCCCCTCCCCAAAATCCAAATGCCAAGCACGGCTGCCAGCGTGACACAGCACCACTTAGGACACCGTTTGGTGGTACTGGTACAAGTGGTTGCAAGACGTTTTGCAATGCCCACCAGTGAGCAAACATACTCGAAATCAACGTGCCACGGTTCAGGAGACGGAATTGTGGTGCAAGACAAGTGTTTGCAAGACTTCTTGCAAGGATCAGGGCTGAAACAGCACTCAAGAATCCAATTAAACATCCCCCCTACGGTTTGTAGCAAAAATGCCCACCCAGAGTCTTTTTGCACAGATGCTTGCAAGCATCGAGAGAAAGCTCTCCCGCATACCCAAAATCAAATGTGTTGCAGCATTTCCATCACCACTCATGACAGTCTTGTTGTATAAACTGTTTACACAGCCTCGGTACTCAAAACAAAGAAGCGGCGCTGCGTGGCAATCAACACCCCATGCCCGAAATCAAAAGCGACCTCAGGTTTTGCCCTTCTAACGTGTAGCAACAATCACTACCCCGTAACACCTCTTTTGCGTGTCCGGGGGCCTGGGGGGGGTTCGGAAATAGGTCCGGACCTATACCTACATACATACAGAATACATCGATATAATACATCGACATCCACAGAAACGACACATCACAACGCCCCTCCCCAGACCTATCTCCAGGACCCCGCCACTGTCACCGAGAATAGGTCCAGCGTGACACGGAAATAGGAGTTGAAATAGGTGGGGATCATAGTGAACCCCCCCACGCAAGACCTGTTAGTAAGCAGGGGCCATCCCGTAACCAAGATCGACATGCCACCTCAGGCTTAGTACCGCTTGAAACAGTCTTGTTGCACGAGTGTTTTCACAGCCTCGTCAATAGTCGAAGCAAATGCAAGATTTATTCCAGGAGCACTTCCTCGACTCTCGCTGATCAATTTCTGATGACCGCAATTGACCGAGCGCGCCTGTGACCAGGAGCGTCGGGAAACTGGTCGAATTGTGTTCTGCTCCCAAGTCGAACTGACAGAGGGTTCAGAAAGACGTGAAAATTCAAAACGGACATGACCGGTCATCGTCCGTGCGTGGCATCTTGCTTGTGCATCCCCCTTCCATGCCGCACGACGTAGCCCATAGACATTGCCCGAGATAGACACTAATCAAACCGGAGCCAGTGGGAAGAATGCACGGAGGAAGCAGAAGTCTGGCCCGTGCAAGCTTACGTCGAACACAAAGATGCTACTCATCCACTTGCTAGTCTGGGGTCGTATATGTGCAGAAGGGCAAGCAGGGATGAAGGCTCGTGAACGACAGCGACCGCGACCGAGCCGACGTGCAAGACCAACGCTTTGCAGCAGTTGACCCCGCACTGCCCATCCAAGGCCCCCTTTGCAGGCGGCCTTTTCAAGGCCGGCTCTGTTGCAGAAGCCGCCGAACGCATGAACACACTACACATCGCTACGCAAAACTAAACGGGGGAAGGGGCCTAAACAAGGTAACGTCAACGTCCGCCCCTACGCACGCAGCACAACCAAAGCAAGAACCCAAACCCAGACCTAGACTTGCAGACGGGCAGCACTGCGTTCTTCCAGAAACTGTAGATGACGAATTTGCCTCGGTCTGAACCGACATCTGATACAAGCACAGCACCTGACTGCCACATCTAGTTGTGGGAAATTCAGCCGGAGAACACGCGCGTTGATAATTCCAGCGCCCATGCACCAGCAAGAGTCGGACCAAATACCTTTGGCAAAGTGTGATGGCATACAATCTTGCACGCTGCATGTGCGTGTAGTTACCTCGTCTGAGACATACCGGCAAAGCAGTCTCAAATAGTGTGAAACTCGGAGACGGGCTTGTTACAGGCCCTTCATGGCAAGTAGGCCGGAGTCTGGGTTGCACGCCGAAACTGCGCGATAGCAAAATCCGCAGAGTTGACTGCCTGCCTCCACCCATTGCATCGCTCAGATTGCGATGCCACTTGTGGCATCAATAGATGTCAATCCAGGGCCTGCCCTCTCTGCCGGAGATGCCCACTCCTACCTGCTGCTGAAGAGACTTATACGACGTCGATCAAGGCCAGAGGTGAGCCGCCTGCGCTTGCTGAAGCATTGGGACGTCGTTCGCGCCGTCACCTGGTCACCGCAACAAAAGCAACGAACAGCCCTCCAAAAAAAAACAAGATGACCCACTTCAAGCGTGCCTATTGCTAAGGTCACGGGCGTTGGATGCACGCCTCTCCTGCTCATCTCCGAGCTTTACGACTCCACGATCTACCGGTTAAGTCTCTGCTAGAGTGGCTTCTTCCCCCGATTTTCTCCGGGTGTAAGTGTTGGGGGGTGGAAGGCGGAGAGCGGGATGCGTGGCTGAGGGTGACTGATGGGCGGGATATGGTGGGATGGGAATATCGGGATTGCTCGTCTGTGAGCCTTGGTCGGAGGATGTGTGCTTTGCTGGGCCAGAATGGGGGGTGCAGAGGCGGAGGGGGCGGGGGGGTAGGTTGCTTACGTTGACATGGATGCTTGGTCGGGCTAGGTGGGTGGGTGGTTGGCGGGCGCGACTGGGATGGAGTGGGAGTGGAGCACTGAAAAGTGCAAGTGCGTGAGGGCGAGTTCGTGCGAATGCGGGAGTGAGGGTGTGAGTGAGTGCGTGAACGTCTGCGCGCTCGAGTGTTAATGATTGATGCGTGAGTCAGTGCGCGAGTGTTAGGGATTGAGGAGTGCGACCGGGGTGGGATGGTACTGAAGGCGATTAGTGATGTTTCAGGTTCAAGGGCTTGCATCTATACTCGCAAATTGAAATGAGGCTTTGTGCTTGAGTTTTTATGCTTTCGATTTAGAGGGAAGGCCTCGGCCTCGGGATTCCCGGCATCACGGGCCCTCGGCCCTCCGTTTCTCCAAACTATATACCCTCTTCTTATCCAGCAGAGCACCGGGGATGGCTCGCAAAAACCCGCGGTCAGAGTACGCGTAGGAACTGGAAAGCTCATAATCGTCGAGGGAACAATGAGAGAAAGAGGGAGAGGAGGAAGGGAGTGAGGGAGGAGAGAGGAGAGAGGAGGGCCAGAAGGGACGGGTTGAGAGTGTTGAGAGTTGAGAGTTAAGACTCCGATAAGGGCGCGACCTCACTATCTTCACGATCTCCGCCTTTTGCAGTGGTGACACCTTGTCATCAATGCAAGAAACACCTGGCGCACACGCAGACCATCCTTCAGGCCCTGCACGCGACAGGCGATCACAACAGAGCAGAGCATAGCCACCTGAGTGTTTACAGCTGCTTCCGCCACGCCAGACCCCGCTCTGCAATCGGCCGAATGCATTGTGGGACTGCTGAGCCTCCAAGAGCTGGTCTTGGAGGATTCCTTTGGGCTTGCTCGTTGGCATCCTGCACGTCCACTGCAACTTCTCCTGAAATGCCGCGCAGTGCGCAACCTGCCTGGCGCTGGAGCTGCTCCTTCCTATCGGCTGCAGCATCTCCTGCGGGAGAGGCTGAAGGCTTCAGGGCCAAGGTGTGCGCTCGCCGCCTCCAGCGCGTGGCCCGTGACGATGAGGGCCAGCGTGCGCCGCGCAGCGGCGGCCTGGCCGGAACCGCGAAGAGAAAGCTCTCTGAGCTTTTCTCCAGTTTGGGCCCTTGGGCCCTCAGCGCTCTCAGCCCTCAGATCTTGGCCTGCTTCGCGCTTCGAAGAACCTGATGCAGCTCGTCCTGACGGTGCACCGGACTCGCGGCAAGCGAAGACGCCTACAAAGACTTTCCGGCCGTCCTCTATTTGTCGGTCTGGGGACGAATCCAGGCTGTAAATCTCCATGTCGTTACCTCATGCATGCTCATGACCAAACCCTGCGCTCTGAAAGCCAGACCTTGCTCATGACTTGGGCAATGGCTGAGCACCCGAGTGCTAAAGCCGATATTCTTTGCCGTCTCCAGCTTGTCCTTGGCATGGCTCAGAAGCTGATCGATGTCTCCGACACCTCGACCACCCCACTTGAGGAGCTGTTGAGACTACTCCAGCAAAGCAGCACCTGTCAGCACCCAGAGTTTGATTCCAGCCTTTGCTATGCAGGCACGGACTTTCGTGTGGTGAAGGCAATCACGCAAAAAGTATTTTTTCACGTAGCCCTGCGGACCTCGTTTCAGCCCTTTGCACAAGAAGCTACTGCCAAGCAACTTGCCGAATCTTGACGATCGCATCCTGCACACCCACCTGGAACACGATGCAAGCACATGCCAGTGCGCAGCACTCTGCCAGTGACTAGGCTGCAAGTAGCCTGCAACTTGTCCTCTATGGCTGTAACGCCGACGATCTCCAGCGAACTGCGAAAGCATCGGGCAAGGAATAGTCGGAATAGTGGCTGGAACAGTGAGAACATGCAGCAGAAAGGCGGCCTCTCTATCCGAGCAGCAACGGCCGCAAGCGCTGCCTCTCTGTCCTCACGAAGAGATAGGAAGCGAGGAGCTTCCCAGTTCCCTGGCCGCCGAATCCTCCATGGAGGACTGGGCTTTGGCGTAGTCGGCTTGCCAGGCTTGGAGTTCCTGATCTGCGAGGAACCGCCTCGCAAGACGCGAAGCTCGTCATCACAGGTTCAACCTGCCGACTCCCGATGCCGTCTGCAAGGCTAAGGCCGCACCTCCCAAGCACCAGTGTGCGCAAGCCTTGCTTCGCAAACATCTGCAGATGCTCCTGCGAGACTCCGAGTGCGGGCCGCACGATTACGGTCGTCGCGTGCAGCAAACACAGGAGGCTACCGCAAGTTGCGACATGCGCGGACATGTCGAAAGTCCTCGGGAAAAGACTTTGGATCTTTGGCGAGCTGCTGCCTTGCAACGCATGCGATATGGCACGAAGTCGAATCACTTACGAAGATCAGGTGTCAACCTGCGAGTAGTGTGAACGCGCTCGAGCCCTCGCATAATCCACTAAACTCACTAAACCCTACAGGTCCCTAGGCCCACATGATGCAGTCATCTGAGGATATCAAGGGCTACTGCATGATGTCGTCGGCACCTTTGACGAGGAGGAGTGCCTGCATCAGGAAAGGACATCGGGATGTGAGCTTCGGTTCTTACGAGAAGCGCTTCCTCCCCAGAAGGTCGTCGCACGACGACGGATTGGCGCTTCCTGCAGCTCTCAGCGGCAATATATGCATGCACACATCCACACATGCATACATACATACATACATACATACATACATACATACATACACACATACATACATACATGCATACATGCATACACATGCATCCATACATCCATACATACATACATACTATATACTTGTTACATGTTATATACATATATATACACATATAAAATGATTGTACATATCCGCCGACCCCCTGGGGGCGGAAGTTGTTTCACCAACCAATGCTGCGGGTGCAAGTTTCCAAGTTCTTTCCCGCAGAGTTTTCATTTTGCTTTTCAGCAAGCCAAGCCCCTTCGCATCCGCTTCGGTTGCAAGTTCCAGTGGGAACGTACATACACATACACATACACATACTGCACACATGCGCATGCACACGCACATACACCTACACCTGCACGTACACCTGCAGTTACACGTACACGTGCATACATGCAGAAAGACAGACTGCCATACATGCATGCATTCATGCATGCATGCATATTAATTATACATGTATGTGTGTATATGTATATATGTATGTATGTATGTATGTATGTATGTATATACACTGTATTTACTGTATGTGTACGTGTATGTGTGTTTGTATGTGTATAAGTACAAGTGGGTGTATGCGTATGCGTATGCTCATGCGTATGTCTGTGCGTGTGCGTATGTGTACGTGTACCCCTCATCCCTCCGCGCCGTTCACTGACCCGGATGCATCCATCAACCCTTCCTCCACTGTTCGCCTTCCCCCCTCCGAGAGCTCATGCCATCAATTGTCAAAGCCGCGATTCGCGAGAGGTGCCGGCGCTAGCGCTGGGGGGACTACCCCGATAGGAAAAACGAGTCGCCAGACAACATGCGCGACGGCTACCGCTGGGGGGCTACCCCACTAAACGAGAGAAAAGTCGCCCAGAAAAAATCGTGAGCGCTACCGCTGGGGGCCGCACGAATAGGAAGTTGATATTTATTATTCTTAGTCTTGGAAGTCCCAAGACCGGGCCCTCCATTATGTATTCATAAATTAAATTACGACAGATATGGCTTCTTCTTCGGCGCCATTCTGGTGGCTGCTTTTCAGCGCCTGCATGGTAGTGAGTGTGGGCCCATGTAGGACCCATACGGGCGCACCTACCTCTAGCCGATCCTACGCACATGGGCCCTTTCACAGTGCCCGTATGCAGAAATGGGCCCTGTCACCGTGCCCATTTCCCTACTTCTAGCCAAACCTAGGCACACGGGCCCTTTCACAGTGCCCGTAAGCGAAAACGGGTTCTATTTTTTATGGCGATGACCCTCTCACAGTGCCCATCGCTTGACCTTCTCGTGTTGCCAATCCTTCTTCGGGGTCGGTGGCACTGACGTTCCGGGAGTCATAATATATATATATATATATATATTGAGGACAGCCATTGAATATTCAAGCTCCCTGGCCTGGCCGAGGTAAAGGCGTTCAGCGCCTGAGTGCCAAGAGAAAAGGCACAGGACTCCCAGGGACGACGAGGTTTAGAGTCTAGAGTTTATGGGTAAGCCATATATATATATATATATATATATATATATATTAAAACATATACTAATACATCTATTGATCTGTTTGTTTCTTTGTTCTTTAACATTTATCCATGTATACGTGTTCTTTCTTTTTCGCACATTTAAACTCAGTTATGTAAGTCTCTTCTTATTCACTGATTATTAAGTTCTAACTTGTTTAACTTGGTTTAACTCATTTATGAGAGAGGGAGAGAGAGGGAGAGGTATCTGAAGTTTATCTATGTACCAGTGGGGCTTATGGGGTTGATGGCTTGCGTGCAGACCAGGTGCCAAAACCTGATACACCCGGGGAGTCTTGGACCCTTCAGCATCCACCTGGCAAAAAGACGCACTCGTCCGCGTGTGAACAAAAAGTCTTCGGTCCTCCACCGTCAATTCCTCGTTTGTTCGACCAGTGAAGCTCCAGCCCAAACCTCGCACTGCCTGCGCTTCTCCAGAATCCACGAGCGAGACAGGCCTTTTTGTGCTGGGTTGTCGCCTCCACCAGAGCTCCTTCATCAGGGCTTTCGGCCTGTGATGGAAGAATAAATGGAGAGCTGCAAAACCCCCTCTGGGCATTTCGATCCAAGCCTCGTATTTGAGGTTGCCCGCTCGATCGCGAGTAGAGACCACTGTGTGCGATACCCCCAACACCTTCGGCAAAGTCTGACGCAGCAACGACATGGTCTCGCGCCGCGTCATCACTCTGCCTCCAGCGCTGCGTCAATGCCAGCACTCTTCCTTGAGTCCTCGTACCTCTCAAACAAAAGCTTGGCTCAAGATTTCAGAGCGACAATGATAAAGTCAATCACCTCGCCATCATTATTTCAGCTCGGCCCTGAAAGCCGTACTCCTGCCAAGGTAAAAGCGATTCGGTGCAGGACAACTCATCACACCAGCCGGCCTCTCCAACTTCGCCATACACACTCCCTGCCAAAGGCCATCCCGCAAAATCAAAATGTGACGGACTACAACGACAACGGCAGTGTTGATCACCATCATGAATCTAGAGACATCCTGGAGTCGAGGGCGACTTGAACTCCGAAAATGCGCATAATGCAGTCTTACCAGGCCTTCAATCGATAGGCGCTTGAGTTCCATGATGTTCTGCGTCAGCCTGGCGCAAAGGAGAAATAGTGATCTGCTTCTTTATTTGTTGGGTTATGCGCGCTTTTGTTTTTTTGGTTATCTGCGTCTTTATTTTTGGGGTTATCTGCGTCTTTATTTTGGGGGCTATCTGCGTCTTTTGTTGGTTTTATTTGGCACCTAGTGGGTTTTCTCGCAAATCACTCGGTTAGTTGCGCCTTCATGTTTTGTGTTATCTGCGTCGTTTTTGGTGTTATCTGGTACTGGCTGCGTTTTCCAGCAAATCATTGGGTTAGTTGCGTCTTTGTTGTGTTTGATCTGCGTCTTTGTAAGGTTTGGATATTAATTAACTCCAAAATCAAACACACATACAAACAGTATAAAAAAACAAGAATAAACCTGTACACAACTAAGACCCATATGAAATTGCGATTCCGGTTCATTACGTACCTTAAACACTCACCCTCATTTGGCGATTCCGGTGCATCATACATCTTAAACGCGTCCCCCCCCCTCATTCCTCAACACTGCATTCCTCATGGCCACTCAGGTTGGTAGCTTTGATGGGACCTACAACGTTTCGGGCTGATCACTAGGGTAATTCCGTTTGTTCTTTTGGGTTATCTGCGCCCTTTTCCTTTCGGTTTGGAAACCCACGTAAGACTTTAGAACACGAATAATATCCATTAAGTTTTGAACACTAAGAAACGGATATAACTAAATCACGATCTCGGTTCATCATATATCTCAAACATCTCAAACACACACTCCTATTGGGCGATTCCGGAGCATCATATATCTTGAACAGGCGCCCCTCATTCGGCGATTCCTGCTATCACATATACCTGCAACATGTCAGACCAATGGGGATTTTGGTTATCACATATACCTTAAACACGCATAACACGCCAACATTGGCTACCAATTACTTCAACACGCCCCCCGATGAGCGCTTCCTTAAATTTGGCGATTGCGGCTATCACATGCTTTAGACACGCCAGACCAGTGGGGTTCATCATATATCTTAAACGAGCCTGCCTCACTTGGCGATTCCAGCTATCATATACCTTGAACACGCGTGATTCCGAGTCTTCATGTATATTTAAATTTAAACACCCACCTCATTTGGTGATTCCTGCGATCATGTACCTCGAATACGCCAGGCCAGTGGGGTTCATGATATATCTTAACACATCACCCCATTGGGAGATTCCGGTTTATCATATATGTTTCAACACGCCCCTCCTTTGGCGATTCCGGCCATCATATGCCTTAGACGCGCCAAACCAGTGGGGTTCATCATATCTTTAGAACACGCCCCCCGATTGGGCGATTCTGGCTTATCATACATATATATATATATATATATATTTTTTTTTGTTTTCGTTTGTTTATTTATTTATTTAAACACACTTCTCATTTGGCGATTCCGGCTATCATATACCTTTGACATGCCAGACCATTGGGGTTCATCATATATCTTAAAAAAGTCCCCCGTTAGACGATTCCAGCTTATCATATATACTTAAACACGCCCCTCATTAGGCGATTCCGGCCAGCAAAACCTTCAACACGCCACACCAGTGAGGTGCATAATCTATTTTAACCACTTTCATGGGACCTACCGCGTTTCTGGCTGATCATTAGGATATTTCCGATTGTTCTTTTGGGTTATCTGCGCACATTTTCGCCCGTTTTAGAGATTAGCTTAACAACCCAACAGAAAATCAATACTGAAAAATAGAAAACTCGTTAAACAACAAAAACACATATGAACCACGCCGGACTAGTGGGGTTCATCATATATCTTGCTAGTAAACGCATCCCCCATTGGGCGATTCCGGTTTATCATAAGGCGCGGGTTGAGAGTGTTTGTTATGAGATTCTGATGCGTTTTCATTGAAGTTTTCATATGGCCGCGAAGCAAGGCAGCAACTTGAATCCACGAAAGGTCTGCAGCTCTTTCCGCAAGCATCCGCGAAGCATCACTACGGCGTTTGCCAACACAAGGACGTGAACCATCACCGCGGCAACTGCCAACAAAAAAAGTTTTACCACAAGCACCTGCGAGCCATCACCGCGGCATCTGCCAACACAGAAACCTTACCATAAGCACATGCGAGCCATCGCCGCGGCATTTGCCAAGACACTAACCTTACCACAAGCATTTGCCAACCATCACCACGGCATTGCCCAGACAAAAACCTTCCCACAAGCATCCGCGAACCATCACCGCGGCATTTGCCAGGACAAAAACCTTCCCACGAGCACCTGCGAGCCATCACCACAGTACTTGCGAAGACAAGAACCCTACCACAAGCATCCGCGAACCATCACGCGGCATTTGCCAAGACAAAAACCTTACCACGAGCACCTGCGAGCCATCACCACAGTATTTGCGAAGACAACAACCCTACCACCAGCATCCACGAACCATCACCGCGGCATTTGCCAAAACAAAAACCTTGCCACGAGCACCTGCGAGCCATCACCACAGTATTTGCGAAGACACAAACCCTACCACAAGTATCCGCGAACCATCACGCGGCATTTGCCAAGACAAAAACCTTGCCACGAGCACCTGCGAGCCATCACCACAGTATTTGCGAAGACACAAACCCTACCACAAGTATCCGCGAACCATCACCGCGGCATTTGCCAAGACAAAAACCTTACCACGAGCACCTGCGAGCCATCGCCACAGTATTTGCGAAGACAAAAACCCTACCACAAGCATCCGCGAACCATCACCGCGGCATTTGCCAAGACAAAAACCTTACCACGAGCACCTGCGATCCATCACCACAGTACTTGCGAAGACAAGAACCCTACCACAAGCTTCCGCGAACCATCACGCGGCATTTGCCAAGACAAAAACCTTACCACGAGCACCTGCGAGCCATCACCACAGTATTTGCGAAGACAACAACCCTACCACAAGCATCCGCGAACCATCACCACGGCATTTGCCAGGACAAAAACCTTCCCACGAGCACCTGCGAGCCATCACCACAGTACTTGCGAAGACAAGAACCCTACCACAAGCATCCGCGAACCATCACGCGGCATTTGCCAAGACAAAAACCTTACCACGAGCACCTGCGAGCCATCACCACAGTATTTGCGAAGACAACAACCCTACCACAAGCATCCGCGAACCATCACCGCAGCATTTGCCAAGACAAAAACCTTACCACGAGCACCTGCGAGCCATCACCACAGTATTTGCGAAGACAAAAACCCTACCACAAGCATCCTCGAAACATCACCGCGGCATTTGCCAAGACAAAAACCTTACCACGAGCACCTGCGAGCCATCACCACAGTATTTGCGAAGACAAAAACCCTACCACAAGCATCCTCGAAACATCACCGCGGCATTTGCCAAGACAAAAACCTTACCACGAGCACCTGCGAGCCATCACCACAGTATTTGCGAAGACGAAAACCCGACCACAAGCATCCGCGAACCATCACCGCAGCATTTGCCAAGACAAAAACCTTACCACGAGCACCTGCGAGCAATCACCACAGTATTTGCGAAGACAACAACCTTACCACAAGCATCCTCGAACCATCACCGCGGCATTTGCCAAGACAAAAACCTTACCACGAGCACCTGCGAGCCATCACCACAATATTTGCGAACACAAACACCCTACCACAAGCATCCGCGAACCATCACCGCGGCATTTGCCAAGACAAAAACCTTACCACGAGCACATGCGAGCCATCACCACAGTATTTGCGAAAACAAAAACCCTACCACAAGCATCCGCGAACCATCACCGCAGCATTTGCCAAGACAAAAACCTTACCACGAGCACCTGCGAGCCATCACCACAGTATTTGCGAAGACAAAAACCCTACCACAAGCATCCGCGACACAAGACACACCTGCGAGCCATCACCACAGTATTTGCGAAGACAAAAACCCTACACAAGCATCCGCGAACCATCACCGCGGCATTTGCCAAGACAAAAACCTTACCACGAGCACCTGCGAGCCATCACCACAGTATTTGCGAAGACAAAAACCCTACCACAAGCATCCGCGAACCATCACCGCGGCATTTGCCAAGACAAAAACCTTACCACGAACACCTGCGAGCCATCACCACAGTATTTGCGAAGACAAAAACCCTACCACAAGCATCCGCGAACCATCACCGCGGCATTTGCCAAGACAAAAACCTTACCACGAGCACCTGCGAGCCATCACCAAAGTATTTGCGAAGACAAAAACCCTCATCACCACAGTATTTGCGAAGACAAAAACCCTACCACAAGCATCCGCGAACCATCACCGCGGCATTTGCCAAGACAAAAACCTTACCACGAGCACCTGCGAGCCATCACCACAGTATTTGCGAAGACAAAAACCCTACCACAAGCATCCGCGAACCATCACCGCGGCATTTGCCAAGACAAAAACCTTACCACGAGCACCTGCGAGCCATCACACAGTATTTGCGAAGACAAAAACCCTACCACAAGCATCCGCGAACCATCACCGCGGCATTTGCCAAGACAAAAACCTTACCACGAGCACCTGCGAGCCATCAGCACAGTTTTTGCGAAGACCCTACCACAAGCATCCCAATCACCGCAGCATTTGCCAAGACAAAAACCTTACCACGAGCACCTGCGAGCCATCACCACAGTATTTGCGAAGACAAAAACCCTACCAGAAGCATCCTCGAAACATCACCGCGGCATTTGCCAAGACAAAAACCTTACCACGAGCACCTGCGAGCCATCACCACAGTATTTGCGAAGACAACAACCCTACCACAAGCATCCGCGAAACATCACCGCGGCGTTTGCCAAGACAAAAACCTTACCACGAGCACCTGCGAGCCATCACCACAGTATTTGCGAAAACAAAAACCCTACCACAAGCATCCGCGAACCATCACCGCGGCATTTGTCAAGACAAAAACCTTACCACGAGCACCTGCGAGCCATCACCACAGTATTTGCGAAGACAAAAACCCTACCACAAGCATCCGCGA